CTCGACCCCTCCCTGCCGGGCAGCAGGAGCAGAGCTCAGGGCTGATGTCAGACATCAGGAAAAGGTTTTTATCCTTTAATCGAGACAKGGAAGTGTCTGCCTTGAGGACAGAYRTGCCCAAACTCTCCCACTTTTGTCTGGAAGCAGGCTGGTAAAGTGAAGTGGGATCTCAGCAGGATTCTCAGTTTGCCCACAGCAGGGCAGGAAAAGGCTCACAGGCTCCCCAAAAGCAGCAGGGAGCCGAGCAGGGCAGGGTGGCACAAGGACATTGTGGTGGCCCTGGTGGCACGGCCACGCTGTGCCCTCTGCTGGGGACACRGCCCGGGAACGCCGGCCCTGCCAGCCCCGACCATGCCAGGAAAGCCACTCCAACACGGGATTTGGGGTGTCTGGAGGACAGAACAGACCCGCTCGGAGCTCACAGGGCTGTCACATCACCCCCTGTGCTCCCAAGGGTGACAGGAGGGACACCCTGACAGAGGCAGCATTTCGGGAGCGCCCTGGGTCAGCCACGCCGCACCTCCCCGGACAGGGCAGCAATTTGCTGTCCCTGTGGTTTGGCCGGACACGTCACTGCYGGGCACTGCACGGGATTTTCCAGCCCTCCCCAATTAAAAGCTCCATCAGAACTGGACAGCAGGGACATGCCAGGGTGCTCATTCTGCAGCCCAGCCTGGATGGGAGGGGAAGGTTTTGGGGTGCTGCTCGCCCTTCCYGGGGTGCTCTGACCACACCTGAGGGTGCCACATGCCAACTGTGACCTTCAGCACTGGATGGTGACACAAATCCTGACGGGTCTGGTGAAATCCCCAAGGAACAAATGGATTCAACAACAAATCCAGACCAGGATTAAACCAACCGAGACCCCCCGACCCTGTGTGGCCAACACCTCCCTCGCTCCTGCTGGGGCCATTTCCTGGCACTGCGTTTTGATTTCTCCCCAGGCTCCAGTCCTGCAGCTGATCATTAACTGACAGGAAATTCCTGACCCACAGCTCGCCCTGCCCGGTGCCGGACCGAGGTCTGGCTGCTGCCAGCGCCCCGTGATTCACTCTYGGGGCTGCTCAGCGAGTTTTGTGGGGACTCAGCCCTGCTCCACTTCCCTCAACCGCAGCACCAACTGCCCGGGCCACCCAAGGAACCTGGAGTGACCACGATCATCCCCAGGGATGGCCAGAGCACGGAGGGGACAGCAAAGAGTCCAGGAGCAAAGGTCAGCAAGGGAACCTCACACAGTGCAGATAAAAAACCCACCAGCCCGGCCCTGCATCCCTCCCCAGGCCCTGGGGGCTGTTCCAAAATTCCCTGCACTGAGCTGGGGACAGTCCAGGGGCTTTCAGCCTTCCAGGGGACAGGAACATTTATAGGGACACAGACAGGACAGGGGTTTCATCCTTCTAAGGGATAGGAAGGTTTATAGGAATACAGGCAGGACAGGGATTTCATTCTTCCATGGGGACAGGAACATTTATAGGGATACAGACAGGACAGGGTTTTCAGCCACCCATGGGAACAGGAGGGTTTATAGGGACACGGACAGGACAGGGATTTCATCCTTCTAGGGGATAGGAAGGTTTATAGGGACATGGACAGGACAGGGATTTCAGCCTTCCAGGGAACAGGAGGGTTTATAGGGACACAGAGAATAGGGACACAGACAGGACAGGGTTTTCAGCCTCCCATGGGGACAGGAAGGTTAATAGGGACACGAACAGGACAGGGATTTCAGCTTCCAGGGGCATAGGAAGGTTTATAGGGACACAGACAGGACAGAGTTTTCAGCCTCCTATGGGGACAGGAGGGTTTATAGGGACACAGACAGGGTTTTCAGCCACCCATGGGAACAGGAGGGTTTATAGGGACACAGACAGAGTTTTCAGCCTGCCATGGGGACAGGAGGGTTTATAGGGACACAGACAGGACAAGATTTCAGCCTCCCATGGGGACAGAAGGATTTATAGGGACACAGACAGGACAGGACATGGCAGAGCCCCCAGCTCAGCAGGACACGGGCAACACACACTGCCATCTCACCTTGTTTGAGGGCTCCAGTTTCAAGGCCGCCTTCAGGATGGGAATGGCCTCCCTGTACTCTCCCTGCTGTGCCAGCACCTGCAGGTGACACACAGGTGACACACAGGTGACAACACTGAGACCTGTCCCTCAGTCCCTGCCACGCCGTGGGGAACACACAGACCCCGTGCTCACCTTGCCCTTTCGGAACAGAGCCTTGATGTTCCCGGGCTGGTGCTCCAGCACGAGATTACASGACTTGAGAGCTGCTTTGAAATGATCCAGCTTGAGCTGCGAGGCCGCYAGGTTGTTGAGACACTTCACCTTCACATCCAGCAGCTCGGCCTCCTCATCYGGGCTGAAATCCACTGCACACCCCGGGCTGGTCACAATGGGACTGGGATGGGGACAAGGACATTTCTACGGGGTGGGGATGGGTACCTTTAGARCTGGAGCCCGCGATCCTGAGGGCGATGTCGTACGAGTTGATGGCCAGCACGTAATCTGCCTGCTGGTAGAAGAAGTTGCCGCGCTCCCGTTTGCGGTTGGCCAGGCGGATTTTCTCCCGGCCGCTCAGCAGCTCCAGGTCCGGCGCGTCCCGAGCGTCCAGCAGCTCCACCTCCAGCGTCAGGGATGAGTTGGGGGGGATGTCAGGGCTCCTGCACAAAGCCATGGGATCCCTGTCACCTCTCAAATGTTGGGTTTAGTGCTGCAACTCAGAAATCCGAGCCAGGGAGGATTCCTGAGGTGGGGAATGATGTGGATTTTTCCGCCRTGGTGGGGAAGGGGAGGTTCCCCAGCCCGTTTGGGACCACCCTGCTCCACCAGGAGCCTCCCAGCTCACCTGCCCTGAGCTCCGTAGCAGTATTTGGCTTCTGACACAATCAGCGCCGTCTCCCCCATCTCCAGGAGCTGCACACACAGGTCCAGAGCCTGCAGGGGACAGCACAGAATCGGAAAAATTGAGCARTTCCAACAGCTTCCACCAAATCAGGCTGCCCCAAGCCCTGTCCAGMTGGGGARGGAGCAGGAGCAGKGGCAGAGGGGACACTCTGACCCACAGATGGATGTCACCGACCCCAACCCTCCCTGTGCCCCCCGAGAGGGCAGTGACACCAGCTGAGGTCACCTGCAGGACATCGCAGTCCCCCAGCGTGAAGGTGAGGGCAGGATCCTCATCCACCACGGTGCCATCCTCCAGCGTGGCCTTCAGGCGGATTGTCACGTCCTGTCCCTTTCGGGGCCGGCTGTCCACCCCCCGACCCGGCACCAGCGTCTTCTTCTTGAGCAAACCATTCCCTGGGCACGGGGAAACCGGAGGCGCGTCGGGACACGCCGGGGCCCGGCCTGCACGGCACCGGCAGCACCGAGAGGCCCCGGAACCGAGCGCATTCCCGGCCGGGGCTCTCACCCAACACATCGAGCCATTCGGGGTCCCCGGCCGCGTCCCCCCCGCTCTGCTCCGGGGGCTGCGCGTCCTCCCGCGGCGGCACCGGGGGCCGGCCCACGTCCTCCAGCGGGGGCAGCTCGCTCAGGTCATCATCATCCTCCTCCTCCTCCTCCTCCTCCAGGACCTCGAAATCCTCGGCCGTGTCCAGCGGAGCCGCGTCGGCCGCCGCTGCCGGCTCGGTGCCGGTGTCCGCCCGGCCCGGGGAGCCGCTCCTCGCTTCCTCCCCGCTGGACGCCATCGCGGCGGAGCAACCTGGAGCGGGGAGAGAGGACGGCGATCGGGCCTGCTCTTACCGGGAGAGAGACGYTCCGCCGGCCCGGGGAGCGCCGGGACCTTCCGGGGGCGGGCGATGCGCAACGGGACAGCGGAGCGACTCCGGAGCGGCGGGGAGGGCTCGGTGCCGGCGGGGGCGGGGGCTCGGTGCCGGTGGGATGGGGTCGGTGCCGGTGGGATCGGGGGGTCCCGGTGGGATCGGGGGGTCCCGGCCCCGCTCCGGTCCCGGCCCCGCGCCCCCCGCCCGCCCCACGTGACCGCCGCGCGCCCCCCGCCGCTCCCACCTGGCCCGCGAACGCGCGCGCCCAGGCCCCGCCCCCTCCGCTCCTATTGGCTGAGCTTCGCCCACCGCGCGACGCCATTGGGCGGGCGGGACGCTCGTCAGGCACGCGCGCGCGGCGCTCCCGGCGCCTTAAAGGGACCGCGACCGGCGGGGCGGGG